CGCCCGCGGCTCTCGCTGCTGGGCAGGGCTGACCCGGGCCACAGGCATTACCCCCCACCCCCCCGGCACGGGGTGAGGCCAGCCCAGGTCCCCTGGCTCCGGGCGTGTGGCGAAGCCAGGCCTGTCCTCCTCCAGCAGCCCCTGCCCCTGGGGTGCAGCTCCCAGCAGAGCTGCCCACTGGGGTGCGGGGGGCAGGGGCCCCACAGGGGACCTGCTGCATGCCACCAGGAGCAGGGGCAGCTCCGGGAGATCCCTCCTCTGGGCCTAGCTGGCGGGGGACAGACTGGGAGGTGGCTCTGCTGAGGGAAGCAACCTTCCTGGAGGGTGGAGGCTGAGTTGGGGGACGGGGGCTGAGCCCTCTGGCACAGGAATCAACAGCCTGGAAGGGGTCAGCGCAGTAGGTTGGCAGTGCTGGTGTTAGCGGCTCCAAGGCAGCCTGTGCTAGGCAGCAAGACTTGGAGGCCAGGGATGCTGGAAAAGGAGGGCCAGACTCCAGGTCCCACCCCATATGCCTCTGGTGGGGTCACCAGGTGAGCAGTGCGAAGGCACCTGGTGCTGTAATCAGGAGTGTGCCCTATGCAGAGATGCTGAACGTGTCCCTTGGTGCTCCCTCACAAGCAGCCATACCATGTTTTCCTGCAAGCACCATGGGCCCAGTAGCCATGGCAGCCAAGGAGGCCTGCACACCCCTATGGAATACAAAAGGAACACAGCAGGGTCAGCCCAACACTTGCAGAGCAGGGAATAATTGTATTTTGATCACCTAAATGGTGCTACAAGTTTGTAGGAGGGATGAACTGATCTTGCCTGAGGCCTACCACCAAGGCAGGGGTGTGGCTCCTTTATACCGGCAGTGCTGATGGTGTTGGAGCTTGTAGGTAAAACGCCAACTGGTTGAACCCACAGCAAGCACGCTTCCCTCATGGGCCCCACAGACAGAGATGGTGACTTGCCTGAGGCTACACACAATGTCAGTGGGGCAAAGCATTGAGGTTGGGTATCCCAGGCCAACACCTCTACCAGCATGATCCTCCCTCTTCCTTCCGCAAAGTCCCTAAGTTTAATTATCTCCATCCTATTTGAATCACTGTTTTGTCATGGCAAGTTATTACTATAAAGGAGAATTTCTGAGTCCAAGCTCATGGGTGTTCTTGAGCCATCTGTAAACAACGATTTTTCCATAACAGGGAGAGGTGCTCTTGCAGTCAGCAGGAGGGAAGTCTTCACATAGCTGTCTGCAGTTGTGGCAGTAACTGGAAAACTCTGATCACCATCACTAGAGGACACTTCAGAAACCAAGACTATGGGGTTGCTAAAAGAACCTAAACAAAAGAAAGACGCTCATAATTTTCATAGATTTCATAGACATCAGGGCTGGAAGGGACCTCGGAAGATCATCGAGTCCAGCCCCCCGCCCAAAGGGCAGGAAGTCAGCTGGGGTCATAGAATTCCACCAAGATGAGCATCCAGTTTGCTCTTGAAGGTGTTCAATGTAGGCGCTTGAACCACCTCCGGCGGCAGGCTGTTCCAGACCTTGGGGGCTCGGACAGTAAAGAAATTCTTCCTTATGCCCAGCCTGAAACGGTCTTGTAGTAGTTTCTGACCGTTCGACCTAGTCGTCATGCCTTGGGGCGCTCTGGTGAACAAACGTTCCCCCAGATGCTGGTGGTCCCCCCTGATAAACTTGTAGGTGGCCATCAGATCACCCCTGAGCCTGCGCTTTTCCAGGCTAAAGAGCCCCAGGGCTCTCAGCCTGTCATCGTAGGGTCTGCTTCCCTGACCTCTGATCATGCGCGTGGCTCTTCTCTGGACTCTCTCAAGCTTCTCCACATCCTTTTTGAATTGTGGAGCCCAAAACTGGAAGCA